ATAAAGCCCAGCCGCTCTGTAAAATCCAGCAGAGCTGAACCCCTCCCCTCACAAGTGCGAGGGATCTTCACAGCCGCGCAGCCGTTCTCTCACTAGATGTTTGCCATTAATAATGCCAGGCAGTGACACAAAGCAATTTGTTTATTCAGATCAACCTTTTAATCCCATCTTGCCTTCAAAATAAATTACCAAATAAACTCTTCCATGAACTATGCTCTAAATCATGAGGTGGTCACAGGACAAAAACTTCCCACCAGATAAAAGAAAAAAAAAAAAAAAATCCATTTTCTTGGAACTTGTTTTGGTTTCACCAATTTGCTTCTTCCCAAAACATTAGGATTCTGCAAGATTTTTAATTGACACAAAAAATCAGAATGCAGTAGACAGCAGATTCTATGCTCAATCACACGTCAGTTAAATGATCATAAAGCAATACTGATACTTTAACAAGGGAATTGCTTCTACATAATCTGGATAAAAAAACTCCTGGAAAACAGTAATTTTTAAAAAATGTTTTAGTTGGTTTTGATGTGTCATACCAACCTGTTTTATTGGGGTAAGCAGATTTTTAAAAAATTAAATAAAAAAAACCCCTGACACAGCATTTTGCAGCAGGTTATCTCAATGCACACCAACCTCTTGAAAATTAAGGCTCCCAACATCCCCGTAAGCCAAGGACTTTACAGGCAGGGAAACTTGCATCAACAGGCTAAGTCACATGTCAAGATACACAAGGATGTGACCATATCACATCACAACATTTTGTACAGAATTATTTATGTGAGTATAATAATTACTGTTCAGGTTTCATATTAGCGTTATCCTGCTGAGAAGTAACCGCTCCACAAGACAGGATGCTTTTGAGTAAAACAGTCTGATCCATTACAAACCTTTTGTAGATTTAACCCGTAACTGCGAGCTTTAAAACACTAAGCCTGCATGGCTCCTCAGTTATTTTGACACTGAAATGGCAGTGCTGCATCACTCTCAAACTGCAAAATAAGGCTGATGTAGCAATGAGCACCAGCTGCGTCATTAGAGAAGCACAACTCACAAGGTGTATCTCCCTCCTTTTACTCTAAAGGGTTGGGATTTTTTTACTTGGCTCTACATTTTGGCCTAGCCAGTTGCCAGGGCTCCCAGACACCCATTCCCAAGGGACTCATCTTGCCCTCATTACCAGCAGAGGTGCCACACCGAAGGATGTGAAACACCCTTGCTGCCGAGCTCAGGCTGCAGTCCCTGCTCTGCGGATTGCCGAGGAAAGCCCCGCTCCCTCCTCTCCCTGCCCGGGCAGCAGTCAGTGCCAGCACCTTGAGCAACCCCACGTCCGTAGCTTTCTACTTGCACTGTCTGTCTCCACAGCCAAGAGATGAAAACCTCCCCCTGCCAGCTGCCCACAGCGCCAGGCTCTCAGGCAGCTGGTCTAACTCTTTACTAGCTGCTTCCCGTACCTCTAACCACAAGATTATTGATTAATAATTGCATATTTCTGCAAAAGAGCGAAAACGCCTCTCTGTGTGAAAAAGTTTAAATATATAAAAACACTTCATAAAAATATTTATTAAAAAAATCAAAATGCCCCATGAGCCTGTAAACGTTGCCTGTAAAATCTCTGTTAACTGGAATAATTTGAAATACAGTCATTTAGGCTCTTCTCTTCTTTTCTGCCCTGTCCAGTAAGATTTTAAGGTAACCAATAGAAATGCCACTTGTCCTTCTACTTCGACCCTCATCCCACCCGCTTTTCTTCCTTGTTTGTTTCCAATACGACAGTTTGATTTCCCAGTGCTGGCAATTTTCTTTGGAGGCATCATTTGTCTTTTCTTTTAACAGAGTTCTGCACGGCCTGATTATGAGGCTTCCTTACAGAGTGGGCTTGAGGTCTTCTTGGTAGCACAAGCAACACCAGGATGCTTAGAATGTGCATATGAAAATACATAGACCTGGGAACAAAAGCAGAAAAAGAGTATTATAGTTTTGTCGGTAATAACACGAATTTTGTAACCTCAGTAAGTCCATGCAGAATTTAGTGCTAAGGGATGAATTCAGAAAATAGAAACCTCACCTAGAAAGCACAAAATACATCCCTGAATTTCACACAGCCTATGCACATGGTATCTGCTGACATCGATGAAAATGTTGCCACAGATATTAATGAGGCTAGGAATCAATCAGCAAACTCCAGAATCCAAAGTCTGACAGCTCAGAATGTAATTCAGCGCACCTCTCTTTTAATGTTAGAGTATACAAGGCTACATTCTGAATAAACATCCTTTGGACGTAAAACAAGTTTTAAAAAAAATTTTTTTAAAGTGACAAAAAGAAAAAGATTCATACCAAGTGTTGAGATCTGAAATAAATGAGAACACTCAATTTTTAACTGGGGAAGGTCAGGTAATGATGTTTACAGAAGAGCTGTGTTTTTGAAGGCAACTACTCAGAGATATCTTTATTTGATCTCTTATTAAATACCAAATATTTTTATTTCAAATAATTCTGTATACACAAGGTTGAACAGAAATAAAAAATACTTAAACCAATTGCATGAGGCTCTGGCAGCCTGGGGAGGATGATGTTTGGAAGCAGTATGGTCCAGCTCTTCACCACAGAGATGCACCTTTCTGGGGTCTCATTTATGCTTCTCACCGTAGTTCTTAATAGCTTGTAAGTTGCTTAAGAGGACTGCTAGGTGTGCAGTGCTCCAAAAATTCACACCCTTGTCCAAAGGCCTTACAATTTCCTTGCTTAACAATCTCTAAGTTTATGTGTTAAGTATGTTCAAAGTCACTATGGCAAAAAAATGTTAAGGTGATGACCCATCTTGGGGCAAGGGTGAAAAATCATTTTCTTTGTTCAGAACTTTGGTAAAAGTAACATTTCTGCCTTCGTGGATGCTGGCATAGTGCTAACAAGTTCTTTATACATATTTATTTCTGTAGTTTTGATGTTAGCAATGTTATCTCACAGAACGACATTAATATTTACTACAACGAATGGCCTTTTGCAGCACAAAGGGAACCAACTTCACTCACAGGACAAATTTATAAGCAAGCTTAATATTTTAGTCTTTTCTCTCCTTTTTTGTCCTAATTGCTGTTTGCTACTTTTGTCTTGAAAGAGGGAAAAATTATATATTAGCAAGGTACTTGGGAAAGCATCTTAACAAAACTAAGGAAGATTCGGAGTCATTTTTATATGGTAAGTTTCTGTGTTGAAATCAAATGTTTTAAGAAACAGGAATTCAATCCCCTTCAAACAGACTTACTGACAGCAGCTATCCTGACTACCAGTTTTGTGTCTTTTATATTAGAGGAGGGAATCGTCTTTCTTTTTAACCAAAACCTGTGAACTATCAACATAGAATAACTGTAGAATGAAAGAACAGTAAAGCAATGCAGTCCAGTCTCCCTTTTCAAATTGTTTTCTCAATTTCTCTATTTCATATTATTTTTATTACTATATATCCAATATACTCTGCAACACCAGTGTTGTCTTATTTTTAGGGAACCTAGGGAAGTATTCACTTCCTATGGAAGTATTCAAAAAGAAAAGTGTACTCATTTCAAGAAGTAACACTCTTCCAAGCACCCTCTCCTTATCTCCTGCCGACAACCACATCTCCTGTTCTACTCATTCGGCAGCTGGAAGCCTGGTCTTTCCTCATCAAGTCCTTTCCACTGCCAACTCAGTTTATTCTTACCCTCTCCAGCCTCGGCCACTGTTAATGGTTGAGAATGGACTGTTTTGGAAACGGAATCTGAACACGTGAAAAGTCACATAAGGACACAGAAAGGCTGAGAAGTAGAAGTGCTCTGCCGTGGCATTATTATTATCTCATGAAGTTACAGGAGTGCAAAAATCACCCCTTACGCATTATTAAGCGCCCTGTTTGAACTCCTTTCAAATCTGGTGAAATGCCAACTGCCTTTCGGTGTGGTTTGGGTTATTTAACAAAAGCCTGCGCTGGTCTGGAGAATAATAGTCAAAGGGAGAGAACTTACTTGTAAAACTTAATCGTGGGCTCAACAGCCAGCATAACAAACGGTGCGACAGTATAGCACACGGCCAGCTGAGTGACAACCCAGGTAACAATGTCGTAGGCTATCTTGAGAGGCACTGATGAGAGGAAGTAATGTCTGCAATTGTTTCTTATCTGCAGGTCAGGGAAAAGTAAACAGAAAACTGTATGAATTCACTTATCAGGCAAAGTCATGCGGACACATTGCAGCGTATGACTCTCCACTTATCATCAGCATTAGTATTACAGAAAAGTTTGTACACCAGTTAGAAAGCACTGAGAGTAGGCAGGAAGACAGAAGCGTACTGACTGGCACATCCAAGATCCCACAGTTAACCAGTGGCAAATGGAGAAGCATCCCCCAATTTCCTCTGTCAATCGCAGGAGCAGACTCTCATGCTGGGTTATCTGGCACAGTATCTTTGGGAAAGGGAGTTGTTGCAATTTGACCTTCCTCCCTCCTGGTTTTGATTTATTACTGGTTCTCAAGAGTGAAACAAAGTTACTTTAAATGAACAAATATGTGTTTATACCTGCAAGCATGTTCTGTTCTCTACAGATTTTGGTTTATCTTCACGTCTATGAAATCCTCATAAATGAGAGGCAAAGCACAGGTTCAGACCCCATGTTCAGCAACCTGCTCCAGTCATAGCAGTTAATATCGATCACTAGTTTAATTCACCTTTCAAATCAACCTGGTTGCTTACCCACAGCCAAACTCTGAAAGACGACGGTGGTGCTTCCCAGCCCTGCACAAGTGACTGGTTCAGCCCAATAGATCAGCAGTGATAAATTTAAGAACAGTGAGACACAAAATCTGTTCTGTCTTCGGTGACTCTACTCAAGACGAGGCCCATAAACACTGAGACTAGTTTACTGCATCAATTACATCCACAGGAAAGAGTTCAAATTTGGGCTAATGCTCAACCCGTAACAGCTTCTCGCGAAAGACTGGGCCCAGAGCCAATTACACGCCAGCACACAGGCAACGCAACCTAGCAGAGGTCTGGACTCAAGCTTAACCTTGAATCCCAAGCTAATTTGACTGCATGGACATAGCCACTGGCACTACCAACTGTACACCCGCAAGCAGGGTTTCCCCCCCGACAGCTACACACAGCACTGCAGCACATGCAGAATTGGTGCCGATTGTAACTGCTACGTGTACTTTGGAATTAGCATCAATACAGCACAAAGTTCCAGTGAACATCAAGCCCACAAAGGCATGAAAGAGGGCTCACAGCAGGGACAAGCTGCTTGACCATGTCAGGGTGGTCCTTGCAGTTGATGGCCGGACAGAGTCTAGCACAGGCCTTAGAAGAGAACAATGAAAGGTACATACCGCTCTGGCTGCGAGTGTCATAAGGATTCCAGTGAGAAACGTAAAATAATATCCAGGATAGATACCATGCCACAGGGCCGACAGGATAAATGTTAAAGCTGTAGGGTACCAGGGAGCTCTGTCATAGCAAACGCTGCAAAGACAAAAACAAAACAAGAAGAGGCTGAATACAAGCGAACAATGGACACCGCCTTCAAAGCCTTCTCTGTTTTTTAAGGTCTTATTCTGGTTTTTCAATGGTTTTATCTTGCCTCTGTTACAGATGAGGGCATGAGGCACTCTCCCTTCCATTAGATGGAAGGTTAGATGGAAAGACGCAGCATGCTTTTATGCACTGAGTATCTGTGTAGTACCTGAGTAGCCTGTACAAATATTCCCAGTGCTCACAGCATTTAAATAAGTAACAGGGCAAACAGCAGGCAAGACTTCTCTTTCACCTTTACACCTCTATCTGAACTCACACACCACCCTTCAAAACTCTGACAGTAGACCAAGAGCGAGTCGAAGGACAGAAGGACGTGTCCCCACCCTTCACTGGTGAACAGAGGTATTTTTAGGCACTGTCATCTGGCAGATGCTGGGAACAACAGGGAGTGTTGTAAGCTATTGCAAAGCAGGGGATTCCTGCTAACTTTAGCAGCCCAAAATCTTACTGCAAAGATGCAAGCGAGTAATACCAGTTCAGGAACACACTAACTGGTCTATTTGGCTATCTGAGGTGTAACTCAAATGCTGTGTTCCAAGGAAGTGAGTCAAGATAATGCACTTCTTACCAGGAACATAATTTGATTCATGAAAAATAGCAGACATTGACTTTTAAGAGGTATATATTTAACAATAAAAATAGTTGTGATAACTACAATAACTCTGTTCCCGCATTTCAGACACCACGTTGACTGTACACTGAGATTTAATCATGCCATAAAAAGCTCAATGAGTAACAGGAGACAGTTCAATCAACAGAATTTGGACTTATGCTAGTATTTATATGTGCCTTAACAGTCACAGGTTAAAATCAGGTCCTCTCAGTGCTATAAAAAGTCTCTTCCTAAACAGGGACTCCCTAGCAAGCATCCCCTGGTGACTCCAAACTGGACTACACTGGGGCTCTGAAGATCTCAGCTTCTCACCAGTCCTAGCTGAACTGGATCCCAGTGACACCAGACTCGCCTCCCGTAGTAGAACACATGGGAAACATAACATAGCAAAGTGAAACAGTACAGCAGGAATCACAGAGGCAAACAGCAACCTAAAAGATGCCATCAAATGCTGTTACTTTTTATTATGGAAGATCTGAACAGTTCATTTATGGCTTTGCTGCTCATATATAACATGCGGGCATTTTACATTTGCAGCAATAAAACTTTACAGCACCTAATACCCTTGTATTCCATCAACTTTTACAGACACAGAAAATAAAGACAGACAAGAGGCTACACATTTATGAGATTCACCAGCCAGTGTTTTTCCAGGCCATCTAGAGTTTCGGGATCTCACAAGACATTACTGTTTCATTACTCTTACCGTTTTAGCCAGGCAGCTGTCTGAATGTTCCAGTTTTCAATGTACATTTTAAAACTTGTTGCAGTCTAAGAAAGAAGTTGACATGAAATGTTAGCACTGAAACCTGTCAAATAACACTCAGTTTTTAAATTAGAGAGCTGATACATGGAAAACATTAACTCTAGTAGCTAACTGTTGTGAAGACTGTGCCACAGTCCATCATTACACTAATATGTTTTGGGAGGGAGATTAACTGGGCTGACTGCTCCCTGTTAGCACTTGGCACTTGCTGTAAAATCTCACTTTGTTTTGTAAAATTAAATACAATGTTTGGGTGTTTTTCAGGTTATGGGAAATCTGAAAAGCTTTCTTGTTTTAAATGCTTGGCCTTCCCTTCAGTTCATAAACATCTTCATTTTTGGAAGAGATATCTTGCCACGCCTTACGCAAGTCTGGACTTCCCTAGAGTGTTATTAAAACAAAGTGCTATAAAAATGAGAAGAAATGCATTATTATTTGGAGAAGGATGAGGGAACACTGAAAAATACAGAGGAAAAAAAAAAAATTAGGACTACATTTAGAAACCAATTCTCAGCCCACTGTCCTGCTTAAGAAAACAGAGTGGACTCCAAGGTCCTGGGAGAACCACCTGGACCTCCTCACAGCACCAGTTCTCCCAGCTTTAGGGGACTGCTGGACTCCATTGATTCCCTAATCCTGGTCAGTTTCACCTCTGGCGGTTCCTCATCCCTGCTCCCCCTTGTTCCTCGCCTGCTGACAGAAACCTCCAAGGACCTCCTCACCAAGCAGAGACACGATTCAGTGACACCACATTATTTTCCCATATCAACTGACCAGAATGACACACTGAAAAGATGGATTACAAGCAAAGGTTTCCAAGGGGAATACGCAGCTATTTTTGAACTTCCGTGCAGAATCCCGAAGGCTAGCACTTCATCCTCTGTGATTAAAGAGTTAAAATGATTAGCAATTCCCACTGCAGTACTGCCACATTTTAATTGTGTTACTGCACTAAGAGAAGCCAAGAAAAATATAATTTCTCTTCCAACTAATATTGTCACTCTCTTTTGGCATCCTTTAAGTTTCCCTGTTACATTAGCAAGACAGAAAGTAGTCATTGGCTGTTAAAATACGCATGCTGCCAAGGCTTTCTTCAAGTGCCTCACACGCGTTTAGCCCCCATCACATTTTAATGCCCTCACAACTCCTGCCATGTGCTTATCTTTACTCCAGATCAGGTTATTTCCTAGCCACGTTTAGCACTCTGGTTCCCAACTCTCAAGCAATTTTACATATGCAGGTGGCTATACCTGCTGAAAACATACCGTACAATCACACGCAAACTTCACCTCCTGGAATTGTTGTTGGTGCAAAAAGTGACGGTTCAAGGCTTACCCAAAGTAATGGTCTCTGTAGCCTCTCTTTTTCTCATTGCACACATGATCAAATCAATGGAGAGCACTCTGGTTTATGCTCCTGGAGACAGTTTCTCCAACCTGATCTCTATTGCCCGTGTCATCAGTAAAGGAAAAAAGCTTTGAGGGGTCTACAACTGAGTGGGTAGATGAGGAGCAAAGGCTCCCGTTTGCTTAATTTGGCTTGACTAAAGAGCATTGCCTGTACTTCACTTTCCTCATTCAAACAGAAACTGCCTCAGCCCATCAAGGTAGGAATCATCTCCTGCCCCAAAGCTGAATCAGATATTGATTCAAGATCTCAAAGTGGTATCTAGGGAGCTGCCATCATCGAGGAGTATAAAGCATTTCTGGGCTGTGTATTCTGTACTGTTCAAGGAGAGATGTACATTGAAGATTAATTAAGGTAAAAACAAAAAAAAAACCAAACAAAACCAGAGACAGGATGTTGAGAAAGAAAGAATGCATACTCATACTTCCAGTTTTGGCATCTTTCAATGAAGAATTACAGGGGCTCTTTCATTTTTGAGAAGAGCTATTAAAGCACATTCACTTAGTCACAAATCATTCAGCAATAAAGCAGTCAACTTATTTTCATCTGCTTTTCCTTTTAAAAATCATAACTACAGAATTAGAGGGGGAAGCTCCTCCTATTTCTAAAGAAAAGAAGCCTTTAGAAAGCAGTCTCAGACACAAACATTTTCACATCCCACTGGCACTCACAAAATATTCTTCGGGGCAAACGAATTACATTGGTCATCTTTTGCATTAGAGAAACAAACATAAATAGCTTACAAAAGACTAATGGACGCTAGAAGTGTGCCACACTCATTTCTCATGACTGCAGCAGATGTTTTGAGAAACACTGTGGTTTGCTGGATGGAGCTCTAGATAAGCAGCCATCTAAGCTGAATGTGGCCCTGCCGGTTCCCACTCAGGTTGCACAGTTTGTCCCTGTTATCTCTTCAACCACTGGTGCTTCTCCGTTTTCAAGAGACACTCCAGGCATGTGCAGGGACCCAGCCCTTGCCAGCATCTGCGCAATGCCTACTCGTGGCGGCCTCTTTCACTACCACCACTCATCTCCACTGGGTTACAAAAGTGGAAGCCTGTTCGAAGTAAATAAACAGAATACACCACAGATGGTGGAGAATCGTAGCTGTGAGCAATTTATTGACCCGCTGAACTCAGCCACAATCCACAGTAATTGACTGCTCATTTATTAAACATCTGATTAATCATTTATTAGCCCTCTATAAACTATTTAGAAATGCAACCTGAATACAGAGCATGACGAAGGCTGCATGACAGGTGCTTTTTATCTCCCCCATAGATAAAATACAAAACCTCTCCATGTTAAAGAGGGGCAGCCCAGTGGCATGGACTTATTTTCCTTCCAGCAAAGCTTCTCCCCATTATTATGCCCGTTTCTCCATAATTATACCCATGCAGCCACTCCTTTAACTCACCTCAATGTTCCAGATATTCAAATTGGACAACAGGTCCCAACGGAAAGTGCCCCTCTCATCAACCCCGCTGAATCCATAACCAGCTGCATTGTTGACTGCATCTGCTGCAATGTCCAAGCAAAACAGGTCAAATCAGAGTGCTGGAGGAGCCATGGTTTCTTACAAGTCAGTATGACACTAAACACACATTCAAGCCAGCTTTACAGCAATTAGCATCCTCTCTTTCAAACAGAAGCTTCCACATTGCTGTAAGGTGACACAAGAGTCATTTCCTTAAGAGTAAAGACAAGCTACTCCTTGGGCAGAAGAAATAATAAAATAAAAATAAAATAACAATGGATAGAAATCACTTTTCCTATGATTTTGCCTTTATTATCAATCTGAGTTAGATACACAAGACTTGCCATAAAATGAATCAGCATTTTCCTCAAAAGGGTACTTGAATGTTACAGCATTTTCCAGAATTCAGAAAAACTGCAATGTCTCAAAGACACGCTTGCCATTTCTATTGAGTTCCAACATGGTAGTTTTAATTAAGACTTTCATTCAGGCTTCTGCAGACAAAGCCTTTTGCTAATCCTGCTGCTTGGTGCCTACCTAAGTACCTCACCATCTCGACAAATCAAATATTGAGTAACTTCAATTACAGATTTAACTAGTTTAAAGTGCAAACAGAAGCTTGGGTAAGGGTAGACACTTCACATGCTGCCCTTTTCCCAGGGTGCTGGTTAACTACCTCCCCTCTCAGCCTTGCCTGGGAGCCATCTCATCACTGGGTCTCAAGGTCCTGCTTTTAACACACCCCTCCCAGAAATCCTTTCTCAGAGTACTAAGAAAACAGAAGGGATTTGTTGTCTCTGGATCACTCGATGCAGCCAACACTGAGGATTATTGGAAGAAAAAGGAAAGTGAAAATACAGGTAAGGCTTTTCCTTCTAGATCGCTTAAAAAACCACAAGCCTGGTTAGGTTATGCTTTTAAAAAGTCAGCACTTCTTTCCCAAGAATGAAAACTGATTTTGCTTTGGAAGTGCTATGAGTACAGGCACAACAAGCTCATGGAGGAATCCCAAAGCACAAAACAAGGGAGAGAACCTAATTAAAAGCAACAAGGCTAACAATAAATAAATAAATAAATGGGCAACCTTCTCTAACCTGAAACTTTCAATTTTATTTTCCACTCCCCATAGGACCCTGCCCAATCACAGAGACTGGAGCTGCAGGTAACTGTCACCCCAGAGCAGGGGGATTCCCGGATTTGCTCCTCCTTGCTCTAAGGGGTGGCAGGGACTCCTTAAGTGTTTCTTTGCCAAAAGCAAGAAACCAGAGATCCAGGGACATAACAATAGAGCAGACCTGTCAGCCTCTCGTTTCCCAAGCTGCTGTCTGCAGAGCAAGGTATGAAGTGCAGAAGGATCACAACTGCCCACTCTCAAATTGCTCTCAAATTGCTCACAAAATCCCAGCCTCCACAGAGCTCAGCAGAGGTTTCCCTGCAGATTTGAACAGCTCTGGTGTATCACTTTCACAGCTCCTTGGATGCAGGCACTCAGTCCCAAATTGGTTTCATCGGCAGTTCCATGTTAAGTTTGCAGCCTCATTCCCATGACTATCGCTAACGCAGCGAGAAGCTGAATTTTCTGTCCTTCCATGGATCCGGAGGAATTCAGCAGTGTGGCTCTCAGACAATACTATGACTGTCCTTTTCTGAGAACAGGAAGAGCTTATCAGCCGTTTCAGCAGGCACTTTTACAACGCCCTGGGCCACGCCACCGGGAGCTAAACTGCGAAAGGATAAAGTGCCTGCTGTTCTGCTGCCTGGATTTGTAACATGAATAATAGAGGCCTCACCCTCCAGTAAGCAATGCGTGCCTTTCCCAAAACCCCTTGTTTGTGATACACTTCTACAGCCTCTGCGGCTTAGTCATGTCACAAATCCAAGTTCAGTTTCTCTCTTTGATAATCGACTTCTAGTTAACTTTAATGCCAGAAAAAAAATGGAGGCAACAATTTAACATTGGATCCACAAAAAATAAGTTTTTTGAGCAAGCAATTCTTTATCCCAAAGCCTTTTCCATTCCCACACATGCCAGTCCTGGCTGTCTTCCCTCGATCTGTTAGTTTTAGTCCCAGCAGTTTAATCACAGCCTCGCAATGAGTTTCCCTGGCCCTTTCCATCCCATCTCGATGACACTCTTCTCAGTTTCAGGTGCTTGCATTGCTGCCTGGGCTTTCAGAATCTCCCCTACACACAGAGTCTTGTAATACCAGCCAAAAAATTGAGTCTCTCAATCTGACTCCTCACACATAGATGGGAAAGGTGACCTCTAAAAGGAAGAAGGTAAAATACAGAAAGATTATTTTGACCACCAATCTAGCTGGCTCCCAATAGAAGAAATTTGCTTCTCTCTATAATGAGCCCTCTTCCTTCTCTTCTCCTTTTCCTTGCAGAGATCCCTGGGTCCTTCCTGTCACCTCCTTCACTCCCCACCTTCCCCATGGTTCTCCAATCCTTTCTCTTGACTGCTCAAAGACAGCGTGGGTACAGGACCACACGGTGCCTCAGAGGCAAAGCCTAACTTCAGCCCCCCAACAAGCACGACAGCTTTCTAATACAGAGGCATGTGCTAAGGATCTCCCCTAGGAAGAGAGAGGTCTGTTTGCATTATAACATACTTGTAAAGCCTGAGCCTGCGTGACCAATTTTAACCTCCCAATCACACCGATGTAAGTGGCAAATTATGAATAAAGCATAAAAACCAGGGTTTAGAGGATGCAAACTTTTTTCCCCTAAGAATTCCTGTAAAAATTATGTCTGTACAATTACAACGTTTTAAGAACGAGGAAATTGTTACATTGACTTCACTGGCAAGAAGCTAAAAAGCAGATTTGGTTCCAGAGGCAGGGCATGTCAGACAAGCTAGAAGAGATTTTATGCACGTTTTTGAAAACTTTTGACATCTCCCCACTTCAGGGGGGTCCAGTGCCTACAGGAACCCCTGCACATCTCCCATGGGAACTACAGGTCTAGGGACTAATTTATTTCTGCCCTCCTCCCCCACAATGTCTCAGACCCCCTCCCCCATTTATGAATTTATTTGTTACCTACAAAAATAAGTGATGTAGCCAGACTTACCTAACGTCCATGCAAAGTAATACTTTGGTTTTGCTGCCTGTGTGACAACGTACAGGTAACCAAGTCTTGACAAGAAGGGTGTTTTATCAAGAAATTCATTATCAATAATATATGCCATAGGAAAGTTCTTGGTAAGTGTCAAGAATAAAATGAGAGATAGTAGTGTGATACACAGCTTGTACATCACTGCTCCCTAAAAAACACAAACAGCAATGAAACATTCATTAGAAACATTTGCTTAAGGAAAAAAAAAAAGGCAGTACTCATGACATACAAAACCAACGCGCTTCAAGAACCAGTAAAGTTAGCAGTGACAAAGTTGATAATGATTAATTTGGAAGAGGTACAAAGAAAAGACCATGGTCAAACGTTTGGTTTAATCTGTTTTATTGAACTACCTGTAGATAGGTACAAAGGACAATTATTAGTCAAAATTGGTGATGAACTTCACAAGACTCCTACATAAGTTGATGAAGGTCCTAAAATGAGAAAGGAAACAAACAAAAAACCAAACCCTACAATGTAAAGGAGAAATCTTCCCTGTTATGGACTGTCAGCTCCTGGAACAAAAGCCTGGATTCCTTCTGGAAGCCAAACCCATCAGTCTTCAGTACAACAGTAGGTCTTATTGCCCAGCTACCATCCAGACATCTTGCTAAAAATCACTTGTCCAAAAAGTGTACATCTTATACAGCATGCACACCTTCCTATGATACAGGGTATCTGCTACGCCATACGGTTTTCTATCACCGCACCCTAGCTTTCTATACGCTAGTATTATTGACAATCATGTCAGTAGTTAGAAGCTCAATTTCAAATACACAACAGGAGTAAACTCTCCTCAATACAGCCATAATTAAAAAGGTGAATCTGGCACTTGGGTACCGTGTAAAAATTGACTCATGTTCTCAAAAGACTAATAATAGTGCAATACACCATTGAAACAACAGTGCATTTTTTGATCCCAAGTACTCTTGTTCCATCTTCTTCATACTCAGGAATAAATGAATGCGCAATTATCTTTAAATAGTTACAACACAATTTTTAATACTTGCTGCTGACTTGCATCTAATGCAATACGGGCTGTATTCTGACCCCAGTCAGACTAATGTAAATCAGAAGTAACACCACTGAAGTCAGCAGAAATACAACTGTGTGCAACAGGAATCAGGTATGTATAGGCACATACTCGGTTTCAGAGGAGACATTCTGCACACACTCAAAGCTACACATTTAGTGTTGCCTTAAGGTAAGAGAGAGAATCTGGTTCTCATGCTGTGTTATCCTGCCTTACAAGAAAGTCTTAGGTAATATTAAAAAAAAAGAAAATAAAATTAGTGTTAATTAAAAACAATGTCCAAGTCATCTTAAAGCGTGAGATTTTCTTGCAAAGCACCTGTACAAGCTACAGTTTCTGATTAGCCGTGATTCATGTACTTCTAACATCTCCTGCACTACGGGTGAGGTTTCACTTTTTTTCCACCCCCTGACATTTCCTCTTCTGTCTGGGGCTGAACTGCAACTCATCATTGTCAGAACCTGCAGACCGTTCCCATCGCTGCACAAAGGACACTCATTAACCAGTGACCCGTTTTGCAAGCCAAACGCATTTGGGGAATTCAAGAGGAAGACACTAGCCCCTTCACCCCTGACCCTGCGATAAAAACAGCAGGCACGTCACAGAAAAAAAACCCACTGTAACATTTACTGGGAAGATAATCCAAAAATGGTTTTCTCTTCTTAGTTTTTAATTATGAGAATCATGTACAAAGCTGTACTCTCCAGCCCTTTGCAATAAATCTTTGTCATTTTAAAACTTACAGTTGGAGAAGGATCAGGAAGTCTGTCATAACCCTTCTGCTTCCAGTTCACTTCTAACAGTTTCATGTGCACGTGCCTCCCTTCAATGAAGGCTATATAATCCTTGTAATTGCTGCAAGGCCCAGCTATGATGCTCATAAAGTTGAGGAGATAGCTTAAATACTCCAGTAAAGAAGGTCTTGTCCTGTGAAAATCATCCGCAGACAACAAAACAAACAGACAGAAAAACACCAAGCAAGGTAAAAGTCAAAGGCTTTCACAAATGCTTTTTGTTGTACTATCCACCTCAGTCCCCAGCTCTCTCCTACACCCTCCCCCCAGCCAAAAACTCGCTATGTCTGTTTGGGAGAAGATGAAGCACAGCCTCTCTTATATCCCGGCAACGTCTGGCAGATGGCAGTCAGAACACGGGTAACGTGGCGGTGCTTAAGCTACAGGTGAACGAATGCTACCGATCTGAAAAGTTGTAACCTTACTACTAGAAATGTTTTAGTTAAAACCAGTCACAAATTCAAATACCCACTCTCAAGCAAATGGACTTGTGCATTTTAAACAGGCTAGCAGCACCAGGAGTGAGAAGATGTTTTTGCACATCTGTCCAGTATGTCAGGGACCAGTAAGGGCTGGCAGACCACAAGCCAAGCAACACAAGTCTCCCCAAGCAGTATCGTGCCTCATTACGTGAACCACAGGGCAGGGAGCATTTAAGACCAGGGCTCTCAGGTCTGAGAGGAGCTCTCACCCACCCTTTGGTTCAGACCTTTCGAGAAATGGGAAGCGTGATGCGAGATATAGAGGAAGGGAATGAAGAGGCACTCTGTCCTACTGTGCAAATAAAGGAAGTAATTGCCTGTATTGCATCACGAACTAAGGGGAAAAAACACATAAATCAAAAGACAGCTGAAGATGAAAGTCAAAGAGAGTCCATCAGGTTCGTTATTTCCATTTTGCAAGTGCATATCCCACAAGCTCCTCGGGGTGTTTTACATTTGATGTAAAATGAAGAAAATCCCTTGTCCTTGCTACAGATAAGTAGAATGGAAAAGGAAGATGCACAGGCCTCCCACTGCTAGTGTAATTTGTAAATTGTTGGGCTTGCTGTATTTATGGGGCTGAAACATCTAAATTCTGCCCCGAGATACACAGTGCTCTCCATAATGTGCTAACAGTCACCATCCAAGTAAATGAGGAGTCCCCAGATGAGAACAGAAACTAGGGGACAGTGTTTCAAGGCTTTCTTGTCCAAGACACAGATGGACATGCATAAACCAAAACCCACTTAAAATTCTTTCAAACCAAAACACGTATTTCTAGCAGGAAAAACTAAGCAACAGCAAAACATTTGCTGTTGCCTACTTTTACTCTGAAGCGGAATTAGTTTGAATAAACAGTTAGCTTAGCCAGGATTTTCTGCATTCACCCTGCTGGTTATTGTAGACGTTAATGCCTGAATGATATGTTCTCTGGTGAAAGCATTTCACAGTAAGATGCAGCAAACAATTTGGGGTAAGGCTCATCTTTCTGCTTTGCAAAATCGAGTCCATGATTTGGGCTTCTGAGCTCTACAGTAAGATCAAAAATAAAGTCATTAGTTTCAACTTAGATTCTGCACATGGGTGGGTGGGGAGACATGAGCAATGCATGGAGGAATGTACAGAGGATGAGCGAGAAACAAAAACAGACCAAGAACAGGAGGGAAGACAAAAGGCTGTATTACCAAAGGGATTTAAAACTCTTCAGTTATGACTTGTCTGCCACCAACACTTGAGCTATTGGCATGTACTTTTCTATTATGAGCTCATCTACTGTACAAGGCGGGGGGGGGGAGGAAAAAAAAAAAAAAAAGCCTGTTTGGCGAGAATTTGACTAGAATTAATCATACGGTCACCAGGGCCCAGTGCAGTTAAACGTTATGCTCTGAGCTTTAAAAATAGACACAAAGCTATGGGTCACAGCAAAAGTTATACGAGTCTCCCTACAGAACTTTTGCTTTTCAAGGAATTACTCCCTTCTTACTTTTAGAAGCTCAGAGGCAGATTTTCTGATGGCTGAATCTTCTGCCTTGGAAATTAAGGAAATAATTTCCTTGGCCTTAAACAAACACTTCATGGTGAAAATTAGTTATGGTTCTAAGATTAATTCTGCAACACTAATTCTTCTAAAAAAATAATTAAAAAAGAGATAATTCACCTGCATCCTGCACTTCTATTGAGAGACAAAATAGAAAAAAGGGCACACAGACATATGATCAACATGCCATCTCCCTTGGAAACATGACGAGATTAGTCACATAACATGAAGGACTAAGTATTCACATGACGGAGGGAGATAGGAAAAATACAATTTCAGTGTCCAAAAATTATGGCAAAGAAATGTAGTACTTGAAGTGTCAAACCAAAATGGAATTTTACTATGCAGTGGTTTGCTGACAGAGGAGGAGTATTCCGCTTGGAAAAACAACGTATCACAGATAGGATGAAGACAACAGCCAAAAAGTCCATACAGTAGAGTCTTAGCCTGGATGTAAGAATTGCTTCAGTTTAAACTAATTTTATTGCATGTGGAGTATATATTTAAGTCAATGAGATGTTGCCAAGCATTTCAGTGTTTTAGTGACCAGCACGGGGTGATAAAGGCAGAAAAATAAACATAGCAGAGAAGCTATGTTTATGTAAGAAGGGCACTGACAGCAGCATTAGAAAACCAAAACTGCTCAAGCAAATTGAAAAAGCAGGCAAGACCTTTGGCTTATCATGGACTGGAAAGAAGCAGGGAACACTTTCACAGCTGGGCCACTAAGCTGGTCCTGACATTGCAAATAAGGAAAAAAAAAAAAAAACAAAACCAAAAAACCAAAGCAAAACCAACCAAACCCTAAACTTCCTTGGATGAAATTAAACACTAGGGAAATTAAATTCTTACTTTACAGCAAGGCGATTTTGCTCAGCAGTGAGTTCCTCAGCTTGTCGCCCTATTCCTAGGGAGAAAAGTCACATTAGATCTTTCTGAAAGCCAAACAGTGAAAGCTATCCCCAAAACCTTATGTTTGCATCCCACAGATAACTTTCTAAAGCCATATGCTTCCAGATTTCTTTGTCACAGGCAGTTGTAATACAGCTCAATTCTTAACTTTTAGGTCAAGTATATTCATGTTCTACCCTACACCTCTTTATGCGGTTCCTCACCTCACTCCCCCTGTCTTGCCCTTGCTACACTTTCAGAAAGAGCAGCCATGGTATTCCCCCCCACACAGCGCAACTGGCAATGCCACCAAACGGCAGCAACCCCCAGCAGCCTCTACTAACAGTCCTGGGCTGGAAAAACCTCCGTTCCCAGAAGCTGCTGGCTCACTTAAGCAGAAGCTTCCCGCTGGCTCCTTGGTGAGAAATGGAGCATTTCACAGCAGGAGGAGCGGGCAGTGGAAGAGAGATGGGCTCTCACAGAACAGAAGCTCCACTGGTGCGAACGAGCTGCCTGGCTGCCTGCTGCTGGAGCAAGCCTAAACGCACACGTCAGTAATAATCTGGAATTGCAGAAGGTCCATACTGGAGGGGCAATCTTCTGTTGAGACCTCTGGGGCCAGGGGTGGAGCACAGGCTCGCCATCCCAGGAAAACTATGGAAAAATCTTGTAGGATGGCCAGGGCATAAACAGACATTCATAGCAAATATCTCAAAACCTTCACTCTGAAGCTTTAGCTGCGCAGTCTGGGAGGAATCCCACTAGCTTCAGCAGAGCAGCTCACCACGGGATGAGTCACAGCGCTTGATGCTGAGCATGCATATACACATCTCCACAAGATCAGGGCCTTGGCATCAATTAGCACTACTGTTCTAAACCTACTGGCCATAATTACAGATACACACACACAAGACTCATTTCCTAAAAAGACTGCTGATATGCTGCTCATTTCCATTCTCTCTCTGCTATTTCAGTTTGTAAATACTAGGAGGGTGCGAGTTCCCGGGGAAACAATTAAGCACTTAATTACTTAAAGGGCTGGGTATTTTGTTTGTCTGTTTCCATTTATGGGCAGCTGCATTACATTTTTACAAATAGAGTTTTGTCCCTAACGCTTGAACTGCAAGCTGCCTCTGATTGATCAACTGCTCCATATACAGATGTGCACAACGTAACGAGCCCTTTCCACCATCGTTAACCTGTAGGATTTCTGGTTTGCCTAAAATGCTCCTGCCTCTGCTCTTACCTTTTCCCTTCTGTCTGTTCATTTACCTTCAATATTCTACGTGTGCATCTAGGCTGTGGCACGCAGCGACACCTGAGCTGGCTAGCTTAAATAACAGAAGCAGAGAAGCCCCAGAAACATGGACACCAACAACAAGGTCAATTAGCTGAGCTTCAAGCTGCACCCATCACAGCCAGCTAAAAGCATGAGACCCACTTGTGTAAACTTGGCTTGCGAACAATGCCAGACCCTGCAGTCTGTGGTGTGGCCACTGCCTAAATCCCAGATTGTAACAACTCTACAGAAGGCTACTCATTTAGTCACCCACAGCATATAATGCAATGGGCCTCAGACCATCAGAAATTCACAGTGCAACATCCGTAGACGTGGGCAATAACGGTACTGATGACAACTGACATTTCTAGCCTTTGCACTGCACTAGACACAGGCATTCTACTGGAAATAATAGTGCTCTTTGTCACAGCACAGCGCAAGACCGAAGCCAATGTTATTTTGCCTGCAACTGTGCTTCTCCCTGCACTGGGAAAAAGCTATTGAATTCCATCTCTCGCAACTCACAGCGTATATTACCACTGAATATATCAGTGATAGCATATTTTTGCAACATGAACGTTAATGACTGTCTATGCATCAAACACAACTCTTGATTTCTGAGAATCAAGAACAGCTTCAGAGGGCTTAGTGGAGAAGCACTGTGTAACATGTAAAGAGCAGATACTGGTACTAGCTAAAACCCAAATTGGGCTGCAAGGAAGCAGAGCCCCCAAAGGGGAAAACAAGTTGTCTTCATTACTGCAGAGCCAGTTTGATCCTAGAGAACTGATCAAAACCTGAAGTTTCTCATTTTCCTCCGCAGAGCATTTTTCTTCAATTGGAGCAACTTGCTGAACTAAATTCACTCACTCCATAATTCAATCACAGATTGTGCTGGAATAAAAAGGCTGTCTTCAGGCCATGGGAAGAGATTCCTTTTCTTACCATCATGCAACTGGCATGCAAGTGTTGTGATCTTCTGTGTAATTATCATCAGCGGGCTGTAACAAAGACAGAAACAACAGTTACGTGTCTTGTAATACAAATTATTCCCAACTTTCCTACTGAATGCCTTTATCCCTTTAAAAGGCATAACTGTATTAGCAACAAGTGGAAAACATCCAATTAAAACTGAAGGAGGAACTCAGGCGTAAGACAATTGCCTGGGTTCAAAACAACCCCACAGTAACTTGCACTGGAATTTTTAATTGCTAAGTGCACACAAAGCCTTATTTTATGTCTCTCCATCCTGCAGCAATGCAAACTGTAATTCAGAAGAAATCGCACCATTAGGAATTACCCGCTTCTGCAGTCCACTGGGCCTCCTTTCAGGCAAAGACCAAATTCAAGCCCCATACAATGCAACAGTAGAATACAGCTTCGCTGCTGTAACATAACTCTGGCTCTTCTTACTGTTACTCTCCTATTGTCCAACTCCTCAGTGCCCTAAAACAATGTCGACTCTGCAGATACACATGCTTATTTCCCCACATGAATAGCCCCACCAATTAAGACTACGTGCAAATACCAGAATAGCTGTCAGCACAGCAGAGTTTCCCACTTGCTTCTTGGCCATGCAACTGCCTTGTGGACAGCCTGTCCACAATGTACCACCCAACTGGGAGCTTTTGGGCATGTGGGACCTGGAGCCTCTGAAAAACACCAGCTAGCTGTACCTAAGCCACGCTTACAGGCTACAACAACCCAGCCGCTTTGGGTCCCACCAAACAAGCAGCGTAGGATTAGCCACTACGTTCAGTAGGGCTGCTTATACTTTCCATATCCAGCTTTACAGAGCTTCTTAGCACTGTAGGCAAATGTGAGCTGCTGCAGCTAAGGAATGGAAAAAAGGCAAAACTCAGCTTGGTGGGATCAGGAGCTGGTTCCCATGAAGGTAAAGGACACAGCCAGGGGCATTCAGAGGTATGTAAGAAGAAAGATGGGGGGACAACCATGGGGACAACTAACCTAGTCCTTCATAGGCAGAGGCTCCAGGGCTAATTGTGATCCATATACAGCTTCTAAGGGCTGTGGAGCCCTAACCACAAAACCCAGTGCTGAACACCTGTAGTCTAGAAGGGCCCATGGCAGGCAAAGCGAGGGACAAGTACCTGCTAACACTGCGTCTCCCCACCTCTCTGCCACTGGGGACACCTACGAGACCTTCACAACCGCAATAGCCAGGAGGCTGTAGCGGGTGATGGGATACATTGTTATTTTAAAAGCATTAATTGTGATGATTATATGCAAAACCAGTTTCACAGAAGAGATTTGTCTTTGCTGAGGATTAATACAATGGATTGCTTCTCGATTTGGTGATAAACTACCAATGTAAACCATACACAGGTTTCTGCCTGAACACAAATAATATCTTCAACATGGAAATTAAAACCCGAGTTTGTGTACATGCTATTTACAGAGTTTGAGCGGTATATGGAACTTTTTTTTAAAGAGATGTAGGTGATTCCTCCAAATATTATGACTATTCATTTTAAACACTGTAATATATTTTCTGGAATTCAGTGAAACAAAAAAAGCTGAAGGCTTTTTTTTAGTTCCAGCACTGTATTTTCTCCACTGATTTCTCAAGGTAAGACGGCAAACAGCGGAAGTTACATTCAATGACAACTCTGTCTAAAATAACCGTCAAATATTCATGTTCTGCAGACATTTTCAACAGATTCTGAATCATCCTCGGCTAAATCGACCTATTGGCTACACTCAAATGTAAACCCAATGGCTAAGATAAACTGTTTGCAATATGATTATCCCACTATGATAAATCAAACTGATTTTCAAGGTAATTAATATGCTGAGCATGGTAAACACAAGAATACTGGAAAAAGCCATTCATCATAAATGGTCTTTTTTTTTATTACTAAATATGGATGAAGATCTTTTTCAACAGTCCACATCTAATTCTGAGTGGGTAGAGTAATTTGCATTTTCTACCCAAAACCAGAGAACATGCAATATCAGCCAATTTCTTAATCAGAATCTATTTTTATCATTTCAGCAGTCTTTACTTGAAATGTCAGTAAAAAAGCTTGCACATAAAATCCAGAACAAGCTTAAATGTACACTGATCCAGAATGCAACCGTAACACAAGGGTTTGTACAGAAGCTCTCCTTGGGTCACCTAGACCATCGATGGACGAATTCAACAATGACTTCCAGACAGCTCCAATATTGTGAAACAGTCATTCTAATTTTTATTCCAATTCGTTTTTCAAGAAAAGTTATTTATAAGATGTTTTCATCATTATCTTCACCATCCTATTTCTCAAAGTAGATTTTCCCATTCAGACAAAGTTTAGCTTTGCTTTCAAAGATACACAAATCCCAATCCCCTAAGCATATGAAAAAGCGGATTTTTTAATCCTTAAGAGAGGCAGAGGCTGTCACAGAACCAGCAGTTCTACTGCAATAAACACAGATTTTTATTTTGTCAGTGCTTGACCTTTTAGCTTTATGGGTGAACATTAACACTTGTTTCAAATTGGTTCAATTTGTTGCATATGTTTCTTACAGCAAGCACTTTATGCCAATATAGAAGTGGGTAAGTTTAAACCTCAGGCTCAGAGCCAAAACCGTATGCCTCTAAGTGCCTAAATTTAGACACTTGTCTTAGAAAATCAGGCCCCCCACCGTAAGCCAGAGAGACCTAAAATGCAAACAATCCTGATGTGCTGATTAACCGAGGGAAGCAGAAGTGCAGCCTGCACTAAAGTCATACAACATATAAACACAGAGAAGAGAGAGGTTCTCTTCATCTATATTAGGAATTCATCGCCTCATTGACGGCACATTGTAACCAGGCAGAACAAGTCAGCCTCTTGTGCACTTCAACCAGAAAAGGCGGACGGTCTGCCACCCTCAAATCCCAACCCCAGAGGAGAGAAGCGAGTACAAAAGTGATGCTGCCGACACCATGGGTGGGAAGGAGACCCACACAGTGCATCTGAGACACCTTCAGCTCTCTCTCCTGCCATCATCGTATGACACATCTACATACATCTCCTATGCCCTACTCAGGAAGGTGGAAACCTGCTGTACGGCGGCAATGGGATGACACCCTCTGAATCTTTCACAGGATCAGTATCAGGTATCATTAAACGCTTCATGCAAAGGGTAAGCAAGGCTTCAGGAGAACAGGGAGCATCCTCCTCCTCCCTTGCCTGTCTACCATTCCCCTGACTTGATCCCACTGGGGGATCCAAGCCTTCACTGCAGGGATGGGCAGAACACAACAAAGCATTGGCGGTGCTGGAGTCATCTTCTGGCACCCCTTTGGGGTGTGGAGACCCCCTCCTGCACACCCACACCTGCCCCGCTCCTCCCTGGGGACTTGTCAATCTCTCCTCATCACACACACACACATAGAGTGAGTCTAAGACCGGTTTTGTTTCTTCAGAATGAAAAATAGTCCTTTCTCCCGTATTTGCAAAGCAATGCATGAGGATGCAAGTCCTGAATCAATATTAAAAATTAGATAAGAAAAATACATTTAATTTAGGGGAAAAAAATAATATAATCTTTTCCTAAATACACATGTGAGTTTTGATTATTAAAACTTGGCAATACCAGAGTATTGAATTGTCATTTCTGTTCAGCCTTTCATGTATCCTCTCATTTTAGACAGCAATAAAACATTGAGCAAGCTAATATGTCAAATGCAGCATCATATCACATAGAGTTAACTGTTTCTGACATGATGATATTTTAAACCTTAGACTCTACTGGAAAAAGCCAGAAGTGCTACAAACAAGAAGGGGAGTTAACAAAGCTATAAAACTTCCAACAATCTTTCTTTCTCTCAAATGTTGAGTGATGCACAGATTACTGGGAGTGGGGCAAATTATTAGGTTGAATTTAAAAAGAGACTCTACCTACTGTACTTGCATTTACAGCTGAAGCATGAAGAGCTACCCCTAGAAACAAGGCATTTGAAATAAAACACATATTTAAGTAGCCTAAATGACTTGAACTCAGTCATATTTGAACACCTTCCAGTCACTTTGCAGCTACATGTTAAATGCTATGATTCTACATCCTCTACAGTTACAAAGTAGCACAGAAGCACAGAGTTAGATTTACACTCTATGTTTTATATATTGGCTAAGAGTTTAATCTCAGATTGTGGCTGCACTGTACCTCCTACACACAAACCATACTGTCCAACTTTTAATTTCAAAAAAAAAATCATCAAGAAATTGTCCCAGGGAATCAGTATGAAATAGGAAATTTCAACAAATGAAAAAAAACCAAAACCAGAACTGTCTTTACCTTATGTAAGATGCCTCGAAAAATAACACAAGACAAAGATGCAACAGTTTACAGAGAACACTCAACAGAGGGGTTTTACCTCCCTAGTCAAACCTTCCAAATGAAAACATACCAGTTCATGTCATTTTAAACATGGTTTGCCCCACGTAATAGATTTGCCCAGAAGCACAGGCCAGCTGACCTAAAGACATCGGCATCGGTTGTGCCCTGCTGCGGGGATCCTCCTTGTATCACAGCCTGGCTCCTGCACTGGGCAAGCTTTGATGCTTGTGAGAGAAAAGACATTGGTTTACCAAGCAGAGTCTGCCTGACCTTAGGTAATCCCACAGAGGAGTCTGGCACACGCTCGCTAGAAATAGTTTCCACTGACCTGATTTCACTAAGAGAGGAGGTGGAGTCAAAAAGGCTCATTGCAGACAAGACTCCAAACCAGCAACATTTATTGCAGGTTTATCTCTTTAGCCCTGAAACCGTGATGAGAAGTTCACACAGTCACGGTCTGCTATTGACATCAACCGTGCTGCCGAGGGGATCGCCGAGCCAGAGACGCCCCAACGGCTTCACTGGCAACGGGCTCTTACTTCTGCTTTCAGCAGCAAAATGAAGAAGTGCTGAATTACACAGAGGAAAAAAATATTTCACTGAACACACTCACGCCCTCAAAGCAACTTCCAATTTGCTTCTTGTGTTTTTCTGGTGAAAGCTCCCAAAGCCCATTTCTTATGCCTTCATAATAGAAGCATTTCACCTAAAAGGGTATTTTACTTCTGGAGAAGCATCCTGTGGAGCACTCAAGCCTGCCTGCTTGAATTTTGGCTAATTCCCACATTGTGGCTCCTACAGGGCTCCTGCGTGACCAAGGATAAGCGATCTCAGCGTGGTTTCAAGCAGACAAACGCCCAGCAGAGCAGCCAAGCAGTGTGTGGGCATGGAGAACTGACTGGGCTCCCCTTACCCTGCACGTGCGCTGCTGCACTGCTGCTGGGGACCCGCTGCAGACCCAGGCTACCCAGAGCCCGCTGGAACACGCACGGCAGGCAACATACTGCACTTCATATGTTTAAAAGCCAGGAAAATAAAAATAACCAACTGAATTTGCAGGACCAGTTAGTGTTTCTGCATTGCATTTTAACATGGTAACAGAGTACATCTATGTTTGTCTCCATCGGCAAATGTACTTCCTTTGTAAAAAACGGCTGTGCACCTTTGTTCCTTTCCTTTGGGGTTGATACTAAGCCACTGAGAGGGGAAAAGCCAGCAACAAAGCACTAACTGCCTCACTAAAATTCACTGCCTGAAGTGCCACTTGTTACTAAAAAGTATCTGCTTATATGGCTTTTTGAGAGGGCCCCTTCAACAACCATCCCTTTCTAAGCAGTTTGCTGAGAACACTGCTGCTGTACTGCATTTGGGATAGAGCGAACACGTAAAGATGTCCCTTCCTTCTGGAGAATGATGTCCACCGAAATACTCATGAAGGAGGCACAGATTTGACACCTGTAGGGAGGAAAGCTGCTCGAGTCGCCCTGATAATTCAGCTCTGGTCTCTCTAGAAACCAACAGAAGATTTGAAAGCAACACCAGCGTGTGTAGCGGCTTTCACAAACTGACTTTCTTTTCTGTAAAGAATGGCACCAAGAAGCTCACATATGTGTGATCATTCCCTGGCATTTACTGAATGAGCTGCGATGTTAGGAAATTTTGCTCAGACACTGCAAGAATTCAAAGAGGAAACCAAAACTCTATGGTCTTAATCAAGCAAAGGATTAAAGCAGACACAACTTCATACAGATGAGGAGCTCCTCTGAATTCCGTCCAGGTGATCATACGCGTAGGGCATTTGTTCACGTAGCTTGCTAGATTGAAACAGTACCTATTACTAGCTTCCAAAAATCCTAATCAAGATCCCTTGATTTATTTTAATTTCTCCCTAAGGCCATAATATTACTATATTTGGTCTGAGCGTGTGATACAAAGAAAAAAAAACCCAAACCGTACATTAGTATTACCATTTTTATAAAGTTGTATAGAAACCAGGCAACTTACCAGCATAATCCTCTTAGCATAAAGAAGAAGAAATAAGAGAGAGAAAAAGAGAGAGAAAGAATTAGGATTTAGTATTCCTAGGTACAATGTATAAAGGCCATGGCAAACCAAGCAAAATAAGATACGCATGTTTCTCTCAGACTGATTTGAATTAAGGGGGAAGCACAGCATTCAGTTATTTGACAATTAGTGTTCAAAAATGAATAGTTTTCTTTGAGAAAGGACAAAATTCCTAAACTATGTCACCACATTTTTGTGAAATAATATAAATGAAAGAGCTTTGATAAAATATATACACATTTTAAAAAAAGTAATTAAAATTAAACTAGATTTCAAACTGGAACTGGTTTTCACTAAAACCTGGAACATAGTTTCAAAAAAAAAATAAAAAAAGGACTTTTCACCTAAGTACTGTGCAATACATGAAACACTCCTATATCAAGAAATTGCTGCAAGCAGCTCAAGTACAGTTTTGATTGAGGGAGTCAGCGACCAAACCTACCCTTTGCAATGAGTTAGAAGAATTAAATAGTCATCTCTAGACAACAAGTTTCCTTACTTCTTAACCTTGAAGTGGTGAGTCACAGTTTAATTTTCCATTTTCCAGTTTACTTAAGACATGGCTCAAAAGTTACCGTGTTCTCCGTCCACCTCTACCTGCATTTTACAAGCTGTGTTCTCAAAATGGGGGGATTCCAAACAAATAGCACAACCAACTAAAGAACCCAAACAGATACATTTGGCTCTACGTGAACCTGCTTTAGCAGGGGGATTGGACTAGATGGTCCCTTCCAACCCTTGCCATTCTGTGATTCTGTCCCACGTCAAAAGGGTTATGCATGCAAACTTTTAAGTGCACAAAGCAGGTCAAGAGAGCAAACGAGGCATGCCAGCTTCCAGTGCCAACATTGGGAAACTCTCATTTAACATCTGGGTTGTCACTTTAGGGAACTGACATTGGAAATTGGCACTAGAACTGGCTATGTGCTTATCTGATGTGGATTAAAACTTCCTGCTTGCAATCAGTTACCACCAGAGACTTACGGGATATGGAGACCTCAAATACAAGTCAGCAGATGATAGGCTTTTGTTCCCTCTTAAAGATTGTCTTATATCCAGTGTTTTGCCTTCTCAGTGCATATCCCCAGCCATGTTTGCCCAAAAGGATGGGAGGCTGGAGGGAGATGGGCATTGCTCCACAGATTCTGTAACGGTTGTTTCTGAAGCCCTGAGGGAGAACTTTAAGGCCATCCTTCCAGCCAGGAGCCTGCTTGAATGCTTCCCTATTACCACATGCAATACATGTGGAACCATCGGACATGGGAGAATGAGCAAAAGGAGGTTCTGTTGCTGCTCATGCACAGTAAAACTATGGTCAGGGAGTATATTTTGTCTTTCTGGGTCATCACATCTGCTTAGGTATGTGCATAAAGCCTCAGTGGGCACATGTTATTTACAGCTGAGGAAAACAGGTTTTAAGACAGATTTATGAGGCTGACCTGGGTTTAAGCACTTTGGATTGCAAATTTTTATTAATACCACTACAATACTTTTTATTTATTCTTAGGCTTTAAAGTATACCATGAAGATGTAGTTCATATCCATACTACATTTTCCAGTTGTTTACTACTTGGCAGTTTTGTTTGACTGAAGTGTAGGGATTGGTTTATATGCTGAAGCATTAGGACAAAATTAAGTAACAGATTAAGTTCACGTATTATTCTTTCAGTACCATTATTATCCTCAAGCTCATCATTAGGTAAGAGCAGAGAGCAGAAAATGCTACCTAGTCTATAACATAAACAACCACCATTCCTCTTCTTCCACCCCCAGTCTCAGCTAGATCTTTATTAAATGTCTTCACAGAGACAGCTAATACGCTCCACAGTGCATTTCTGAACGCACTATTCAGAAAAGCATGCTCTCTCGTATTTCTCTCTCTGTCTCACACACACAGAGCTATAGCATTCCAATCCCATTTATAGGCTTCTTGGTACATCATATGCTCTTTCAGGACATGCTTTTGAGTATTAAAAGAACCACAGAAAAAAGTATAGAACTAAATTTCTCTAAATGTACGAGTTCCTATTTCCGCCCCCTCCTCTAATAAAAAACTCTAAAGTCTCAGAAGAACTTTTTAATTAAATGCTTCAACCCACCACCACCTCACACAGACACACATGCACACAGACAGCAAAAATCTCCAGTTGTCTATGAGAAGACAAGGGCTTGGAAGAGGCATCTGTAATTTACTGTTCCAGTTTACAGAGGTCTTTCATAGTAAGTTACTAATTACTCTGTATTCAATACTCTGTATTCAAGACATTCAATTAAACAAGTGGAATACTGATTAGCACACTGGTTTTAAATCATGCAGAAGTATACCTTCCTCTCATAAGCAAAATACATAGTTAGCTGTCTGTATTTTTGCATAGCATCCTCTACAGCTCCAGTGAAATCAAATAGAGACCACAGTGTATATGAAAAACACTGTTCCACAGAAACACATGGCATATAAAAAGTTGTGCTATGAAACCGCCAGCCACAACCTGCCCACGTGAGAGAACCCGTAAGACCGGTGCCGAGAGCGAAAGCTGATCTTGTGTCTCTCTGCCCGAGTTACCCACGCACCCCCCCCCACCTACTTCCCAGCTCCCCCAGCCACTCACCCCCTGCCCAAATCCTCCCCTCCCGCTCGCTGGAGGGCCTGGGGTGGGAAACGCTTTCCCAGTTCGGGCATCAAGATAAATCAGAACGGGGGAAAGGATGACCCGGAGCCGATGGCCATGCCTAGGAAGGTGGGAGGAGAGCAGCCCACCCCACCTCCTGGGGCAGACCACCAGGGACCAGAGCACCGGCCATGCTGCTCACCAGGGCTGTCAGTGCTCCTCCAGCTTCAGCGAGTGACCTATCCTCCCCCAGGCTGCTCTAGGTGGAAGTCTAGCTAACCGAGCTCTACCTTCCTAACTAGACAGTGCCTACCAAGAAAACAGCAGAAACAATGAGTCAATGCCAAAATCACACGGTGTTTATTCCTTCCTTAAAAAAAAAAAAAAAAAAAAAACAACCAAAAAAACCCCCAGTCTTAGAAAATGCTTAAGGGAAACAAAATTACAGGCACTCCACAGATAACAAACATTATTCTTAAAACATACTAAAATTTAACTAATACTAATCATCACAGGACCCAGCTTGCAGGCTCACTCACCCGGAAAAATCTGTAGTGAGAATACCATAATGAAATATGTATATTCGGCTTATGTGGCACAACGTGAGGTATCCCATAGCTACGACAAAGGAGTACCTAAAAACACAACATACAGAACACATAGTTACCAACACAAGTACCAACAAGAACTAGAATCACTCAAATTGGGTTTGGGCTTGTTTTGGAGTGGAGTTTGATTTTTGAAAATTAGGTTGTTAACAAGTCTGAAGCTATGTTACAAGATCTGGCAGCAATTTTCAAAGAGGGCTGATGGTTTTATGTACCCAGCTGAAACATTACGGAGGTGTCTCCTCACACTGGGGTGGGGAAAAAAGAAAAGATGCAGAACCCCTTCAAGTTGGGAATTTAAATTTCAGAGTTCCCACCCACTCATATTATTTTGAAATTTCTGTCTGACTCAAGTATTGTCATATGAGAGACAGATGATACTGTATGTGCAAGGCTGAAGTTACCCGTTTCCTTTTTTATCTGTAAATGTCCTTTATTTACACGTGCAACTCTTCCTCAGATCTACCAGAAATTAAAATATTTCAAGTTTAAGATACTTTCTCTCTTCTGATTTTGTATAAAGGCAGATAATGACACATAGCCTAATCTTTTCAGCTCTGAATGCTGAAAGATACCCCTTTCCAGAAGGAGCATTCCTGAAGTGGAGCTTGACAAATTCACTCTCTACTTTTCAAGGCGATCACAAAATTATGTTAGGCAGGACAGTAGCATGACTCTTTCTATCTTAAGAGTTGAACAGTCCGAGGACTGGTGGCGTTGCAGCATCTAGGTGGTACAAATGCAGCCTCTCCTACAACTACCTTCTCCCTGTATTTACCCAAGCAAGAAAGAGGATACTGGGGAGGTAAGAAACAGGTGGATATTTCGAAACAAGACTGACAAATGAAGCAAACTAGAGAGTGCAACTGAGAGCTGGGACCCCAGAATGAAAGGCTTGTGTCACATGGACAGGCCAGGACCAGGTCTGCTGGTGTCCCCTGCATCAGGAGAAGATGGCCACATGGAGGAGAAGATGCAAAGCCCTACATCTACAGTTCCTCTGTAGAGGAATGAGAGTGCGCACCTTGCACACCCAGCAGAGCTGAGCCATGGGAGATTAGGCAGGCTGGTAGCACAGACTGCCAAGTGGGGTCCCCCCAGACCCATGGGAGGATTGCTTATGGTGGGGGTCTAAAGGTGAAATCAAACAAGAGAAACAATCACCAGATGACTGAAAATGAGCCAGGAGGCCTTTGTCAAATCATGGCTGGCTTTAAAAGAAATGAGTTTTTCCTCCCCGAGGACTAATAAACTGCAGTGTGAATGACAGTGATGGATCGCAAGGCAACCTGCAGGTCACTCAGCCCACAGCAAACAGCTGGATAAAAGGCAGGCTGAGGGGACATGACAGCTTCTTCAGGAGATTCAGGGCTGAATTTATCTTATTTTTATCTCAATCAGGCATCCAGTCCAACCTCAGTGAGGTCCTTGGGCTCCCCCTCATCAATGGAAAGCAGCAAGCATCCCTCCAAAGGCAAGCAACCCTCCAATGGCAAGTCACCCAGCTCAGGCATGTAACCGTGATAGATGGGATGAAGCATCAAAAATAAGCCTCAATGCTTAAGTGTAAAGCACCTAGATTGAAAGCGGGGGGCGAGCAGGGAGAGAGACACTGAATTGCTGCTGCAGCTGGGAGACTGTCTGACGCTGGATTAGTTTGTCCATTTGTAGGCCTTGAAGGCTGGCAGCCTCACCAGAGCACGAACTAGCAGGAAATAACCAGGGGAAGGAGCATGTAGGTTAAACTATGCAGTTTCTTTGTTCACTTCCACTTGTGTTTTGGGGGGAAAAAGGCCAAGTCTTAGAGCCCCACCATAAAGGATCCAGTGCTCTTACAGGCACCCTCTGTATGGACAGGTCCAGCCCTTAAACTGGCATTTTTCAAGCTTATTCTCAAGCAGCTTGAATACACTGTCATTTTGCCAAAATTAATAATGGGGATGTACTTCGAGTCACACTGCTGTGGCTAATGAAATACCGTAGGAAAGTCCTAACCCAATCTTGCCAGCCCTCCTAAGGTTTTTCAGCATGTTGGATTGCCATTTCACATTGACTCAAATCAACATGTGACTATCTCGCAGCAGTGTGGGACATTATATGAACCAGCTTAATTTGTGTTGCAGTATACAGCTATTTTTCCCATTGTGAGTAACTGGCTAAACAGTAACAGTGAGGGGGGTTCCAGCTGAAACTGTGCCCGTTTCATTACCTCAACTTGTCTAGGAAGACGTAAGTATTGGATGATTGCCTCTGTAGACTCGGGTCCTCCGATCTACAATCAGTAACTCCTGCATTTCCCCCAAGAGATGGGCAGGGACAATGACCACAAGATAAGTCATACACATTTTTAGCATCTTTTCCTTCTGGTCTCTGGATGGCATTTCTGTCATAAACATTGTCCAATTACTTTTTTTTTTTTAGTAGTATTAATTATCCCTGGACTTCTGGGCTTTGTACTCTGTGAGGGCATGGAAAAAACCTCTGTGATTAATACCTATCTTGCTGGTGCAAAATGCTAGTGACTGCTATAGACAGGCCTGTTGTTTATGGTTCACTTTTCTAAACAATCCTAGAGAAATCCTAAGTGATGGTTCCTATTTGGATATTAGAGAAGGGTTGCCTCAGGAAGAAATAAAGAAGGGGAGATGATCATCTGAGCATCAGATCCTCAGACATCCCTGACCCTGAAGACAAGGAAAGAAAGGGTTTCTGTTCCCCAGCCCAGATGGATGGGAACATTCAGCAGCAGCTACAGAAACAGCCACACAGCATAGAGACAGAAATCACCTGTAACACACCCAAACCAAACCACAGTATTAACCACATGCTCTTAGGGAAGCCAACACAAAAGCAAAGAAGTGGGAAGAACTGCCAGCTTTGTCCTTCTAGCCTGCTATGAAGTAGCAGTTTTAGAAATAAAAATTCCTATTTGTGCAAACCGATGGGGAGCAAACGACTCCACCTGCACAAATTTAAAAAATCCTACATGCTGAACTCTAATAGAGAGAATGGTACCCACATGAGGCTGCTCCTCCACACGGGCTTCCTCTTACTCAGTGAAAGAAGCAGATATAACTACCATGTAGTTTTCATTTTCATATGAAAGCGCCTTTTGTCTTTTGGCCAGGAAGGCACTCGCTTGATAAAGCGCTTTAGGACTCTCAGGTGCCTTTCTTTTCCCTGTGCAAATGTCTCAGAGGAAGGAAGATCCCACGGTCGAGAACTTCTAATGATGATGCCGTAAGCTTCTGCTTCAAAGCAATAGCATTTCTGGTACTTTCTACTTTTTCAAGCTCAAAGCCCAGTCCCAAATGCAAGACTTAATTTCATAGATTGCTAAGTTAAGTTGCCACAGTGACCTTATTTGAACTGCCTAACTCAAGAATAAGTGGAAAATACCTAAAG